GACAAATTATCCAGCCTTAAAGTGTCTTATTTTGAAAATACGGATGTTGTGCTCGTTTCTTTTCCTGTTAGTGCGACGTAATTTTAAAAAATTGACTCCAGCGTCCGGCAAAAATAGGATCTGTTCCTATTTTGACGGATCGCCGTCCGCTCACCGCCGCCGTGCGGAGCCAGTGTTAAACACTCTCATTGATTATAATGGGTGCGTATTTGCTGCGGAGGTCGGATCAGAGCGGAGCAGAGACGGAACGCATGTAGTGTAAATTGGGGGTCACATTCACTTTTGTCATTTAACATCTTTGCAGAATGAAAAGTTCTTCACCTGTTGCTTTGCTTTTGAGATAATTCAAGTTTTTATCTTATTTTTGCATCTCCACCATTGCTGAATTTGAAACTGTCATTAAAACCTTTTTATACCCTTTTTTAACCTTATATATTGTAGAAGTCGACATCGTCGTCACATATGACTCAGATGGAACCTACAGGATGCAGGTGAGCCRCTTTAGAACCTAATTTTACCTTTTCTTTCTTTTTAAGAGTCTAAAATTTAATAAAAGCATTGCTTTTTTTAAATGTAAAGACAAAAATGTTTGAGAAAGTGCTGTTGATATAAGGAGTGCAGAACTTTTACCTTTTTAAATGGTGACTCAGGCTGCAGATTTTCACGTCACGTTAATACTGTAGTGCAGTTATTTACTTTTTTATATTTAGATTTTTTTATTTAATTATTTTTTTCGGTCATTTACAAAACAGCACAAAACACAGAACAATGAAAACAAAACAGAACAATACAGAAAATAATACACAATCTTTAAATTCCTGTCAGTATCAAAATGTCAAGGTATAGACTGAGAAAAAAAGAGAGTAGGTAGAAGCATAGCTTTTTATACCTTCACTTATTATTCATACGTTATCAAAATCAAATCAACATCTTTCCTATAGATTTTTTAAAGGAAATCTCCAATGAAATTCTAAAACAAATTTGTAACAAACTCTAGAAACAGCAAACAATCAATCAAACTTTGGTATATTTCACTTGTTTATCACTTTGTAATAAAAGAAGTAAGAAAAGAATCAGGCAGATTAAATTTGCTGTTTAACAAAATAGATTGTGTTTATGTAAAGGCCCTGTTGCACTAGACAACTTATGCCAACTTGTGAAACATTTTTTTATATCTAAATTGCTAATAAAAGTTATATATTTTATCAATTTGTTCAAATTACACGAGGAACACGCTGAAAAGAAGCTTCCTGTGGGCTTTTTCTTCAAATTTATTCATTTCATTTAAAAACAAAACAAATACATACAACACAAATGAAATGAAAGATAGCAGAAAGAAGAAAAACAATTCTTATTGATATCTGCCCCTTTATTTAAAATAAATTGAAACAATAATAGTCTTCAAACAACAAAACTTACTTCAACTCCTCGAACAACGGTTCTTATAAATGCACACTATACAAATTTTATTTTATTTTTCAATTCTTTCTTCAACGCAGACGTCTTTAAAATGTTCATAAGTTGTCTACTGTGACAGGGCATTTAGATTTTCAAACAGATATAATACCTAAATAAATCAATAATAAATATCACTTCTTTACCTCCATGTGTGCCTCCGTGACGTCTAACTTTGTCTTTTGGTTAAATTTGATATTCTCACAAAATGGATTTATGTAATCTGGAACCTAGGGTTGGGCAATATTGGCAAAAAAAATTAATCGCGATTAATTGTGGTATTTAGCCGATAATGATTAATTTGAGGATGAATCCCCTGGAGTCCCTGGACACCCTTATGTCTTGGTCACATGACCAATTTAGTGGGAAATATTTGCTCTTGTTGATAAATAAATTACAGAACTTTTTTTAAAATATTCGTCATATTTGAAGCAGAGAGGAGCACCAAGCGGACTGATGATGGAATTAATCATATTAATCGTCAATTGCCAAAAAGTAATCGATTAATGTTTTTCTGAAGATTAATTGCACATGATACGATTATGCCCAACCCTACTGGAACCTAAAGCATTAAAGTCATGAGATGAATTTACTAACTTGATTTGTAGTTCTGAACATGTTTAGAGTGTTTTTACACACTGTTTTCTCCAACATTAATTACCTACAGCCCTGATCACAAATTTTGGCTATAATTTCCAAATATGCTAATTAGACAATGACGTCATTAAACTGCTTTTAGGACAGCCAATAGTGACTATCCTTACTGAGGAGTTAGGGTTCAGCAGTCTGAACAGCAGCCTCTCTCCAAGCACAGATCAAAACGTTTTTGGTTGTTTAGCTCTGATTATCTCTGGTTATCCATCGGTCCCACCAATGACCCCCACCCCATCTGAAAAGGGGGAGTCTCGACATACAAAAATGCTTATAACTCAACAACTACTCAACGTAGGAGCTTCAGATTTTCTGACTTCTGAGTTTTGGTGCATCTGGTGCAGGGGTTATTATGTTACCGCTATGTGGTATCTAGATAACATCTATTTTTCTGTAATTTGTCTATGTAATAACTTTCAATTCAGTTCAGTTTATTTAAAAAAAAACAGCATACCGTATTTATTTATTTATTTTTTTGCACTTTATTAATTTCTCTGAGTAAGCCTGATCTCATGAGCTCGTCTTTCAGGTTGGTGAGCAGGTGTACCACGTCACGGGGCAGGTGGAGGTGGAAGGCGGAGCCACCTTCTTACACTGTTCAGTAAACGGAGTGAAGTCTCGTCCCAAACTGGTGATCCTGGACGACACGGTGCACCTGTTCTCCTTGGTACGTTTCCACAAGTTCTGCTCATAAAAACAAAAAAACAGAGAAAACCAGACAGTATCCTGTTCTCTGACCCGTTTGTTTAAATCTGTTCACTGAACATCTGCCGTGCAGGAGGGGAGCCACCAGGTGTCCGTCCCAGTGCCAAAGTATCTGGCCGGTGTGAGCGGGTCAGGAGCTCAGGGGGGAGCCGTGGCCCCCATGACTGGGACCATTGAGAAGGTGATTAAGACTTAATGGGTTTTAAACTTATTTAAGTGATTCCCAAAGCTGCAGTAAGACTATTAGTCTCTCTGAATGTATGACAGAATTTAACTCACAGATTTTACAGCGGTCCTCTCCTCTCTGGAGTTCGTTAATGATTAGATTCTCCACCGTTTTAAATATTTAAGGGATGTTAAATTGCAGATTACTTCTGCAACTGTATTTCTAATTAACTTATTAATGAGAAGATGACTTTACAAGCAAACCCTTTTAAAGAGGACTGTTATAGAAACTGTTTAAATTATTCTTACTCGTAAAATTAGCTCTATGAAACTAAATAGTTTATTTCTACTGGGTTGCATTTATCAGAAGCCTTTGATACAGCTGATCATGAAATACTGTCGAAGGCTCTCTGACATTGGACTCTCAGCAAGTAGACGAATGGTTTATGAACTATTTGTCCAACAGATCACACATTGTCATCTGTTGGGCAGATCCTTTTGTATTCAAATATTCAAGGGYGTTCCTCAAGGCTCTATCCTAGGCCCGCTTCTTTTWAWAATCTACATTAACAGTTTAGATAAYAATGTGCCACGTGTTCATTTTCATGYGTATGCGGATGACACCGTCTTGTATTGTGCTGCCAACTCGGTACAAAGTGCTTTTGAAAAACTACAAGCTGCTTTTAATGTGGTTCAGTCAAATCTATGTGATCTAATACTTGTCTTGAATTCTGATAAATCTAAAGTAATGCTGTTTTCTAACACTAAACCAAAGTCTAAASCACAGCTGTTTCCGCCTGTCATCGCATTTTAAGGCTCTCAGATTGAATTAGTGTCTTAGTATAAATACTAAATACTAAATACTAAGTCATTTGGTCCAGACCAAACAGTGGACTTTATTTTTATCCTTTGGTGCAGTTTGCATTTACATTGTGCTTATTGCAAGTAATTTGTTTAAACAAAGCCATGCGGGTGACGGTCATTGCTCCCATTGGACAGAAAGGACAGGGGCAATATTGGCAGAAAAAGTTAATCACGATTAATTGTGGTATTTAGCCGATAACAATTACTTTRACGATTAATCCCCTGGAGTCCCTGGTCAGCCTTATGTCCCAGACACATGACCAATTTAGTGGGAAAGATTTGCTCTTCGTAAAAATCTGTTCCAAATTGTGTCAAAATTACAGACTTCAGGCTGTACATCAAATTTTAAATTGTGTTGAGAGACCAAGTAAAACCAGAGGTATGATAAATAAATTAAAGAACTTTTTTTTTTTAATGTTCATCATATTTGAAGCGGAGAGGAGCATCGAGCAGACTGACTGGGGAAATCTCCAGTCAGTCTGCCTGGGTGCATTAATCGTATTAATCATCAAGTGCCAAAAATAATCGATTTATGTTTTTTTGACGATTAATTGCACACAACACGATTATGCCCAACCCTAGGCAGGACAGAGTACAGGCCTGGAAATAAAGATGCTGTTAATACAACTGACTATTAACAATATGAAGAGCGGCTCATTCAGTGGTGGTTTTGTGATGATATACTTATAATTTTGGGACGGCGTTGTCAAATACGTGCCACACCCTAAAGGAAACGAGATGCTCTGTGTTCCCTGACCTACAACAGCTCATTGTTTGTAGCGCRSTGTTAGCGTTAGCAACACTGAAGGGCTAATGATGCTTAGCAATGGTAGCTCGTGATGTCCAAAAACGTGTACGTTTCCTGTAGTTGGTTCRGTCTGAGGACGGTCTGTATTCACACCTGCATAAAAGGTCCGGACCAACGAGGGAATGTAAYTCTGGTCCGTTTAAAAAGGACCAAATGTGTCAGGTGTGAGCATACCCTCTGACTTTTGTTCTCCACATTTAACTTAAAGCTGAAGATGAAGCTGGGTTTTTATTTTAGAATTAGAGCTCGTCTGTGTTTTGAGGCTAGAAAACGTCTTGTTGCTGCCACATGTTTGCCCGTCTTAGACTAAGGAGGTGTGATTTATATGCACACATCTTCTCACTGGTTGCATTAGTTAAACTCTGTGCATCATGGAGCCTTGTGTCATGGAGCCTTGTGTCATGGAGCCTTGTGTTTTATCACTGGTCTTAGAGCCCACCACTGTCATCTGTAGACCAGCGTTGGATGGACCGCCTTATCCACCTGCTGATTTGTTCCCTGGCATAATCTGGTTTACAAAGCATTCTGGCATTTACTTCCCCCTTACCTCCTGTCTTATATCATTAAGAAAACCTCAGGAGGTCATTTTATTAACTGTAGCTAAGGTTCGCACTGCTCCCTCAGACTGGAATCTGCTGCAGAAAGACTTGAAGTTGAAGGAGTTGGTCTCTTTTAATGTTTTTAGGGTCATTCTTAAACNGTCTGAGGACGGTCTGTATTCACACCTGCATAAAAGGTCCGGACCAACGAGGGAATGTAACTCTGGTCCGTTTAAAAAGGACCAAATGTGTCAGGTGTGAGCATACCCTCTGACTTTTGTTCTCCACATTTAACTTAAAGCTGAAGATGAAGCTGGGTTTTTATTTTAGAATTAGAGCTCGTCTGTGTTTTGAGGCTAGAAAACGTCTTGTTGCTGCCACATGTTTGCCCGTCTTAGACTAAGGAGGTGTGATTTATATGCACACATCTTCTCACTGGTTGCATTAGTTAAACTCTGTGCATCATGGAGCCTTGTGTCATGGAGCCTTGTGTCATGGAGCCTTGTGTTTTATCACTGGTCTTAGAGCCCACCACTGTCATCTGTAGACCAGCGTTGGATGGACCGCCTTATCCACCTGCTGATTTGTTCCCTGGCATAATCTGGTTTACAAAGCATTCTGGCATTTACTTCCCCCTTACCTCCTGTCTTATATCATTAAGAAAACCTCAGGAGGTCATTTTATTAACTGTAGCTAAGGTTCGCACTGCTCCCTCAGACTGGAATCTGCTGCAGAAAGACTTGAAGTTGAAGGAGTTGGTCTCTTTTAATGTTTTTAGGGTCATTCTTAAACGGTTTGTATGAGACATTTGTTTAGTAAATTTGATTTTGTTCTCCTATTTTAGTCCTATTTTACATTTTTTACGTGTAGCGGTACCTCTACACTTCTCAAAACTATAGTTATGAGGAAATCACAAGTTCTTTTCAGTGTAGGGAGTAAATACCTTTCTGTGTAAATGTGAAAATAACTCACAATAATTTGCCGTACTCAGTAGTTTAATTTTTCTAAAATAAATGATATTTATTTACAGAATAAAACAAACTACTTATTTACAAATTATTGTGAATAATCAATATTTTTGGTGAGTTAAACATCAACAAAATGAGCACGCGTCCGCACAAATTAATGTCAATATTGCACTCAGAAAAGAACAGCAAAACTTCAGGTTTGAGATCTTAATAAACCAGATGTTTACAGGCACATGAGCTTATTATGGCAAGGTTTTAAGCTTAAGAAAACTAAGAAAGGAGGAGGATTAGTTTAGTTCTAAGACTTATTTTATCAAAGTGTGAGAAACCAGAACAACACAGCGGATCACTTGCCGATGCCTCAGCCCGATCTTGAACACTTGGTCAAAACATTCAGCTTTTGGTTGGTGTCGACTGTCAGGTTTAAGCGTGTAGGAAGACTTCAGCCAGGTCAGGTTTCTTACTGCCAGTAAAATCTCCCAAGTTTTGCTTCTCTGGAAATCTGCTTCTGTTCATCGGAGGAGCCCCGAGTCAGTTTCAGGTTTCTCTTTTAAAGAAAGAAAACGTCTCATCAGAAGTTTTTTTTTTTTAAAATAATGAAGCTTCAAAGCTGGTTCTTTTCAGGGCAAGCTCAGCCCAGGAAGAAGGGAAGATGGTGTCTCTTCCCTCTCGTTTCTTTTTCATTCTGTTCTGTCGAGGCTTCGTCACTGTTAGTTTTCTAAAGAGAAGAAACTAGGGACAATGACCTCGACTCGTGTTAGTTAGGAGGAATAAATTAATTAGTCTAGACATTTCACCATAGGTCTGTAGAAACATCTTGCACCTGCTCAATAACAAGTTCAGACTTTGAAAGAATTAACACTGAATGAAAATGAACTAAAATTCAATGAAATACAGTATAAGAG